AAAAAATTGCGTCTTTTCTTCCTTTTGCCAATTCGTAAATTAGGACGAATTCGTAAGAAAGAAATTTCCGGTACCTACGAATTCGTAAATCGAATTGGTCGATCATCGACGAATTCGTGAAATGATCGACCATCGACGAATTCGTGAAATGATCATTTTGGTTCCCAAGAATTCGTGTACCAATTCGTAAACTGGCAAAAATACGATAAAATGCGAATTTACGAATTCTATTTACGAATGCCAAAGCATAACCGATGAATTCATAAATAGAATTCGTAAAATATCGCTCAGCGGATGAAAGGTCGATTTTACGATAGTGAGTTTTTCTTTTTCCAGTTCGTCGTTCCACTCTTCTAGTATCTTATCTGTCCTGAAAGTCTGAGCGTTATTGTGCTGATTACGCACGAGATAATGAATGGTGAAGTAGTAGTGGTAGCGCTATATTTAGCTTGATAGTAAAACGACCCCTGGAGTCCGGACTTGCACTGTTTCCTAACCTAATCCAACTTGTATTTGTACTGAAATTTTCGGGTCTCTGAGTCAAGCCGTGGAAAAGTAACACACTCAAGATTAAACGCTAAATGAACGCAAGTCATCGTTAAAAAAACTGGCAATTTTTCTTAAAACTTGAATATCTCAGTAACTACTTCGGTTGTAGAGCCGCGATTTGCGGGAAAAAACTTACTATTGATTGTACTTTTGAGCTATGTAATTGAAATCAAATTTGGAGAAAGTTGATTGAGCACGGTTGGTCGTGGCTTATCTGCAATGGCTCCCAAGATATCATTGATCAAATTTCAACGAGTGGTTTTCAGCATTGCAACTCTAGCGCTGTTTAATATATGTAAACTCTTCTCGCCTTTTTGCTACATGTCACACTAGTCATTCTTCTGTGTTTTTCATCCTTTTCAAACCTTTCATTCATTTCTACTTTTCTCCGCTGTTCTTGACTGAAAAAACATTGTTAAGTGGCTCACTCTCATGTGGGGGATCGAAAGTGGAAATGGATAAAAAGTATGAATGATAGAAAAGGATAGAAAGGAGAAAAGCTTGGAAAAGGAAGCCTTAATAGGTGTACAAATACAGCGTAAGCGTACCCGTAGGTTAAAGTATTCTGTGACTATATATCATGTTACATATTTTTTTCATATTCTAACACTCATATTTCAATAAGCGTTACTTTTCGAACAGTGCTGGAGCACGGGATCTAAATGGAAAAAGAAATCAAATAGCGGTGGTACTTTTCTTCAGCCTGGAAGACCTCGAACGTTGTTTCATATTTTATACCGACCGCTATTTACGTTTTTTTGCTATTAGAGGCTGCCGGACGTAAGTTGTCGTCAGAAACCTGAAATTTCAAGTAACCTTTTTGTAAACATTTTGCAAGAGCCTTTCATTTTCGCTAAATAAATAGAACTGAACTGTTCTCTCTGCGAATATGTAGATGAACCTAAATTCGTTATCTGTATGCGGAGCTGTTTTATAACTAAAGTGGAATAGAGTTTCTGTGATGCCAGTAAAATTTTTCTTTTTAAATAGGAGTCGGAAAATAATCAAAAATATAAAATATTAGAGCTGTATCAAATAAGGGATATCTATATCTTTTCACTTCTCGGCAAATGTGAGCAAATGTCTATATAGACATTTGCTCACATTTTCCGAGAAGTGAAAAGATATAGATATCCCTTATTTGATATAGCTCTATTATATCTAAATGTGATTCCATTTCGTGCAATGCTAAGGATGCGTTAGAACCAATAGCTGTAATTGGCATTTCGTGTACGTTTGCTGATGGTCTTAATTCTCCACAAGCATTTTGGAATGTTCTGGTTATTAGCGTCGATGTTGAAAGTGAAATACCGAAAGCATTAGAAAATTTGGTACTTGTTCCGCGCTGAACCGAATTGGATAAAAATAGGCCACCAAGTGCAAATTTGTCGGTGAATCCGACATCAGGTTCCTTATAATTACATCTTCACTTCTTTTCGGCGTCGACATAATCAACGTGGTTTTTGCCTAAATTTTATTTAGCTCATTGGCGCCTTTTTTTCAACCAATGAGCAAAATAAAATTTATGCAAAAATCACGTTGATTATGTCGACGCCAAAAAAGAAGTGAAGATGTAAGTATAAGGGACCCACTGTTGGATTCACGGACAAATTTTGCACCTGGTGCCCAATTTTTATCCAGTTTGGTTCAGCGCGGAGCAAGCACCAAATTTTCTAATGAGAGAGTCGCAGATATTGAAGCCTACGCGTTACCCTTACTAATAAAAAATGCAGTGATTAGAAAAAATTTGATGCGTCGTGGGTGTTTTATAACCCATGATATGTTAGACACATTTGATCCATCTTTCTTTGGCATCAGTGAAAGCGAAGCGGCCTCTGTTGATCCAGGTTATCGTCTCTTGCGCTCAAAATTCGTTCATCTCATGGACGACGCGGGTATTCCCATAGAACAAATTAAGGGTAGTCAAACAGCTGTTTACATCGGCCAGTTTTCAACTGACCATCAAGTAAGCATGTTTAAATTCGGTATTGATACTTTAAATCGGACAATGTAGCCAAACGTGGGTGTTTATCATGCTGCTTCACGCCTTTCTTACCATTTTGATCTTCATGGACCGCGTATTGCAATAGATACGGCTTGTTCACCTTCACTTCAAACTATTCATCTTGGAATTCAAACACTGAGAAATGGTGAAGCAACGCTAGCGGTTGTGGGTGGAACAAATTTAAATTACAGACCCGAAACGGTTTGTGTGGCTTCACTTTCTACTATGATCTCTTCAGATGGCCGCTCGCTTTCATTTTCCGCAGATACTAATGGTTATGCGAAAGGTAAACATTGTTCTTAAGTTAATATAGTAGTAGATTTTTGGCATGGTAAGCGCTGTTTTGCTTGTTCATTGTTCGTGATTTTATAAACAAGATCAGCTTTTAATTGTTTCGATAGGATGATATTACAATTTTGATATAAAACAAATAGGTTTGAGACTGCTACATCCTCCGTTCATGTGCTATGTGTTATGCTTTTATTAGGTGAACAAGCAGGAAGCTCAAATTTTCCCCAGATGCTGACCATTGTAAGATGATCTCAATCCAATGAATAAATCTAACAATAGATGTACAAATTTATTGGCTGGATATATTCTAAAGATCTGATCCATTCTAAGTCACTGTGATATTGCTTTACATATTCTTTCGATGCACTCTATTTTGCTTTATATATTCTTGCGACCGAGCTTCATTGATGGTATGTGAGACCCAGTTTGTTTCCATTTGTAAGGTGCGCGCAATGCAAAGGTTGAGTACTATTTTATTTTTGGGTTTCTTATACATCATTCGATAGAGAATTTCACGCTGATCGAGAATATTAGCCTTTTAGCCTTCTCAGTGTACGTTTTTATGTAGAAAAATTCGAAATACTATGAGGGTCTCGAAATCGGAAAAAACCTTCATGTGGTTCAAATTGAATATGTTTTTTCCTTTGTATTTTGAAGCTTCCAAACATTCTTTTTCGGATTCAGCATTGAAAACTGAATTAGAAAATGTGTTTTCAAAGTTCTCCACGTATTACGTGGCCGGTGCAGAAAACCAAGTATCCTTTTTCCAAAATTCTTTTTCTTCCTTGAGATGTTGAATTTCCATTAAAACATTGCGGTGTTCACCTAAAATCGAGGGGGTCCTTTTGCAATAACTTTTTCATTTCTTCATACATATTTTTGAAACCTATACTGTTAGATAGCCCTTGAAATTCTCTACAAACTGATCTAGTCAGACAATCTAGATCGGTCGGCTCGGTCATCAAGAACGTGCAAAAAACGCGTTGAACCTACGGAAAACGCCTGTGGAACAGTCCTTTAGCCATTTTTCTGTATTACTGGAAAACTATATATGGCGATGATCAGTCTGGTCGGAAGACCTTTTGGGGCATCCGGGAGAATTGCTATAAATCAGTTATCACGACTCTCTCAGAGCTGTAAAACATTTAATTTTGT